CTCAGTTGGTTAAGCATCGGACTATGGCTCAGGTCATGATCTCATAGTTCGTAAGTCTGGGCCCTGCTTTAGGTTCTGTGCTGACAGCTCAGAACCTGGAGCCTGCTTTGGATTCTGTGTCTCCCTCTCTCTCTCTCTCTGCCCTTCCCAGGTCATGCTCTGTCTCTGTCTCTCTCTCTCTCTTAAAAATAAAATAAGCATTAACAAAAAATTAAGATTTGGGGATAAGATTAGATAGGGCAACCTCTGAAATGGAAACAAACTAACATTAAATTCATTTGTGGAAATAACCCTAGAGAGTGACTTGAAAACGTTTTAGAAAAATGCTGTTCATGAAATTAGGGGGCTTCTAATGTATATTCTTATAGACTGGAGATAGTAATCTAAATGTAATGTATAGAATGATCTATAAATTTGGCACTTAGACATTAATCACACACACACACACACACACACACACCCCAGTAACTGGCACATAGTACATATTCAGATGTTAATTATTATTATTAAATGTATAGATTAGAAATAAAATCAAAGAGCTTATTCAGAAAGAGACCAAGGAAATGGCACCCCAAATCTATACAATTTTCCTTTACTTAGAATACAATATTTCTAGAGGTAACAATACAAAGAAACAGGTTCCCTAAAGAAACTCAATTTACTGGATATATACAGGATTTGTTAAAAGTAACTTACCAACTGTACTATGTTTAGTCCCCCTTTCCTTCTGGTTACAGGGTGTCTTAGCTACATCTTGATCTGATTTCATTACTTTTGGTTATCAGAATAATGTGATTCTATTTAGCATGGGCCAAATTTGTGGCTCTCAGGGCTTGCAATGGACCCTTATTGCTATTAAGTCTCTCCGTCTCTCTCACACCTACACACGCACACACACACATGCACACACACACACACACACTCAAGTACACATCTCATTTCTCATCTCTCAGCTCTATTTTCTCTGTGTTTACCTTCATTCTCTGTTACTGCAAGAAGCCACTTCTAGATAGGAACTTCCTTTAAGCCTTATTAAATAGCAAGGAATGAAGGAGAAATGGGGTGCTTTACTAGACCAGTGGCTTTTCAAGCCTTTTGTAACCCAGTGCAATACAGATTATATTGTCAACCCAATAGAGACAGACATAAATGTGTACCAGTCAGCTGTTTCTGCATTATAACAACAAGAAAATCTCAGGGGCACACATCACTAAGCATTTATTTTTGCTCAATGGTGTATATTGGTTAGGGTCAGCTGATCTATGCTAGACTCAGCTGGGTGTCATGGCTAATTCTTGGCAGGGTTTGCTCATGTGTCTGGATTGGTTGGTGGTTAGCTGACATAGGCTTCTCTTACTCAGGGGAGGGTCAGCCTTTTTGTTTTATTATGTTTTCAACTGACTGGACAAGGCTCACCTACATTAGAGAGAGCAACCTGCTTAATCAGTCTAAGGATTTAAATGTTAATCTCACCCAGAAACACCTTCAAAGGAACACTCAAAATATTTGACCAAATATTTGGGCACCCTATGGACCACTCAAGTTGACACATAAAATTAACCATCACAGCCTTTTTATGCTTTGCTTTCCTAGAATAGTAATTGACCCCAATCTACCTCTTAGGTTACTCCTTCCCCACCCTCCTTCAGGAAGAAAAATCATTGTAACACTCTTGTTTCTGGAAGATATATCATATTTATCTTGTGGTTTTGTGAACTCCCAATCCACCACTGAATACTCTTTGGGGTTTAATACCTCACTGTGAATAATACTATTTTACACAAAATTTGTCTTAAATGATTATATATTTTTTTTTACAAACACACATAAAGCTATTTAAAATCCTTGTGAAATAGAATGGAATATAAATATGCATACATTGCTTTTACCAACCAAATGTTTTACATCTTTAACAATTTCTCTTATAAAGTGAAAGCTGTGTTTTAAGAAAGGTCTTAGGTTGTTGGGTTTTCAGACTCAGTCTTCTCTTTTTCTTCCTTTTTTAAAAATGTTTATTTATTTTCGAGAGAGAGAGAGAGAGAGAGAGATAGCGAGCAGGGGAGGGGCAGAGGGAGAGGGAGACACAGAATCCCAAGCAGGCTCCAGGCTCTCAGCTGTCAACACAGAGCCTGATGCAGGGCTCAAACTCACAATAGTGAGATCATGACCTGAGCCGAAGTCAGACAGTCAACTGACTGAGCCACCCAGGTGCCCTTTTTTTCTTCCTGTTTTATTAATAAACCAGAAAAGGCTTTCCTGGTTCTTAGTTTTTTTCTATTTTTTTTCACAGTTTCTTAGTTTGAAAGAACAGAGATGTTGTAGACACTAGCTGATAAACCCAGAGTCTTTAAAATTCATTCCATCATGATTTCATAAACATTTACCCATCATAATTTTGAGATATTTGGAACACATAGATGAGTAATTTATAGTCAGTTGCTTTTAGGGATTCATAACCATATGAAAGAGGGGGGGAGGGAGAATGATCAAAAACATAATCCTGGAACTTAAAGCCCTATGCTTCTCCACTTTACAGGTGAACTAGATGCAAAAATCTATAACCAGTTGGGCAGATTATATTGAATGGTGTAACCCAGTACAAGAGAAAACACTGAGGTGACACCCACTTTTATAAATCTGTACCTGGGTTTGAGCCTGGCTCAAGAGAATTAAGCCACTGGGCAAAATGCCAGTCTGGTGACTGACTGGCATGAGTTCAATATGACTTGCCATACCTCCCAACAATCCTGTTGTTTAAAGTCCACTCCTTTTCTCATTCTCAACAAGGGCTATTTCAGATATTCTCCATTATTTTCATTTCTCCATCTCTACTACTCACTTCTCCACTTTAATAGATGACCTTTTTTTCTGACTTCAACCGTCTCCCCCAACCATAAGCTATTAACACTCAGCCACCAAATTATAGTCCAAGCCTCTACCTTCCCTCCCCTTCCAAAGGTCAGTGTAGAAATCATGGGGAAGTTCGGACTCACATTGCCCTTAAGCTGCCTACTCAGTTTCTTTTCTAGGTACCTAGTCAGCTGTGTGTCACTGTTTTCTGTACTGCTGGTCCCTGAGAGGAAATCTGGGACAGGGTATCCTTCAGGGAAGACATGAGACTGGGGAAGACTACCACTCCAGTTTATCCAGGATCATCAGTTAGACTGCAAATACACATGAATCTCTTTACTGATGTGTTGGGCCAATTTTAAAAGTGGATTTGCAATGCGGAAGAGAAAAGGCCAAAACTCTGCACTGAATGGGCTTCTCCCTGAATCCAAAGGAAAACTGTCTGTAGCAAACACTGTCAGTATCCTGCCTCATATCCCCCTGGGCTTAAGTTCACTGTGAGTATGGTTTCCACACACACAGTTTCTTACCTCAAGCCTCCATGTCTTTTTCCTTTGTTTGAAGGGTCTCTTCAGTCCCATGGGAGGTTGTTCTGCTACAGCAGGTATGCAACACACAAGTGTGGAGGGGGAGTTACACCTTTGGGGGCAATCTTCAACCAATAGGGATTGGGGTGGGTGAATAAATGCCCCAGCTACCTCACCACCACAGGGATGATTCTGTGCTGTCCCACCTGGTTTCTCAGAAGATTCTCTGTGGGATTGAGTCCTAGTTGTCTACTCATTAACAATGGAAAACCACTCATTGCTAGCCCATTCATTAACGCCACTCAATAAAGCACACTTGCTGGCTTTTCTCCCTTTTCTGTCTCACTTTTCCCAAGTCTTCTTCTGTGCTTCTTAGAATCACCTCACAAATAAACTTTCTACACCCAAAGCCTTGCACCCAAGAGTTTGCTTTTTAAGAAGCCCAAACTAAGATGTTGAACAACTTAGGTTTTTCAGAAAGGGATTCCCATAACTAGAGTCACCTACACCGACTATGCAGCTTTCAGATTTGTTTCTGTCTCTTGTGAAACTTCTTGTGAACCATTTCAGAGTGTCTTGGCCTCACTTATCTTTTATTCCAGCTCCTGCTGTGGCAACCAATTCTCTGCATATTCTTTCAGCTTTCTCTAGGTGCAACCTGGCAATATCTCACATCAGGCCCATGGAGCTTGCTTCTCACTCTCCACCTGGGCTTTGTCTGATGATTCCATAGTGAAGAACAGTGTAGAAACTGATTGTGGTTCTCATGCTTATGCAACTCAGGAGTACTGAGCCATGCAACTCATGGCTTTGGGGAGGGGATCTTTGAGCAGTGGGGTATGGGATCCAACTGATAAATACTACCCCTGTTTTATCTCTAATTAACAGCCTGGAGATGTATCTCAGGCAACTCCTTGGAAGCCCCAGTGGATCCTACAGTAAATCACCCACAGTAGTGTCCAACTTGATAATGCATCTTTGCAGTGGTTTTTTTGTCTTCCCTGTTCCCCCACATCCCTTGATCCTGCTTCCTGGTTCACACTCCTCAATAAAGAATCTATACTTAAGCCTTTGTTTCAGGCTCTGTTTCCTGGTGAATTAGGGTAAGATAGTACCTTTCTTCTTATCAACCTCATTTTTTAATTCTTCCCTATGAAAGTTTTATCAACCTTTTGGTAAACCAAGAATGGTGGTGGTCCCTGGATTCATACTTCTTGCCTCATTTGTACTATTTGTACTATTCTGTAAATTTGCATTATTTAGTCTGAAATGATGCCCTGTAGTTTCAGAGCCTGGTGAGGGATGTCAAATCACACAGATCCTTTTTTCCCCCTTTTTTCTTTTTGCTTTGGTGCACAGCTGTGGGGAGATTTGACACACCGGCTCTCTTAGTGGGTCCAAAATAGGTTGGAACTTGTGAGTTGGGTCCTTTCTTTGATGTGACTATCAGTGTAAATTGCACAACTGTTGCTCTCCTGCTGTACACGAAGAGACAAACATGAATACACTGTGGTGGTAGTCACCATCTAAAATGGCTCCTGGTGGCTTTTTCCCTGAGATCAGGAACACGACAGGGATGCCCACTCTCACCGCTGTTGTTTAACATAGTGTTGGACGTTCTAGCATCAGCAAGCAGACAACAAAAGGAAATCAAAGGCATCAAAATTGGCAAAGATGAAGTCAAGCTTTCACTATTTGCAGATGACATGATACTATACATGGAAAATCCGATAGACTCCACCAAAAGTCTGCTAGAACTGATACACGAATTCAGCAAAGTTGCAGGATACAAAATCAATGTACAGAAATCAGTTGCATTCTTATACACTAACAATGAAGCAACAGAAAGACAAATAAAGAAACTGATCCCATTCACAATTGCACCAAGAATCATAAAATACCTAAGAATAAATCTAACCAAAGATATAAAAGATCTGTATGCTGAAAACTATAGAAAGCTTATGAAGGTAATTGAAGAAGATATAAAGAAATGGAAAGACATTCCCTGCTCATGGATTGGAAGAGTAAATATTGTCAAAATGTCAATACTACCGAAAGCTATCTACACATTCAATGCAATCCCAATCAAAATTGCACCAGCATTCCTCTTGAAACTAGAACAAGCAATCCTAAAATTCATATGGAACCACAAAAGGCCCCAAATAGCCAAAGTAATTTTGAAGAAGAAGACCAAAGCAGGAGGCATCACAATCCCAGACTTTAGCCTCTACTACAAAGCTGTCATCATCAAGACATCATGGTATTGGCACAAAAACAGACACATAGACCAATGGAATAGAATAGAAACCCCAGAACTAGACCCACAAACGTATGGCCAACTCATCTTTGACAAAGCAGGAAAGAACATCCAATGGAAAAAAGACAGTCACTTTAACAAATGGTGCTGGGAAAACTGGACAGCAACATGCAGAAGGTTGAAACTAGACCACTTTCTCACACCATTCACAAAAATAAACTCAAAATGGATAAAGGACCTGAATGTGAGACAGGAAACCATCAAAACCCTGGAGGAGAAAGCAGGAAAAGACCTCTCTGACCTCAGCCGTAGCAATCTCTTACTCGACACATCCCCAAAGGCAAGGGAATTAAAAGCAAAAGTGAATTACTGGGACCTTATGAAGATAAAAAGCTTCTGCACAGCAAAGGAAACAACCAACAAAACTAAAAGGCAACCAACGGAATGGGAAAAGATATTTGCAAATGACATATTGGACAAAGGGCTAGTATCCAGAATCTATAAAGAGCTCACCAAACTCCACAATCGAAAAACAAATAACCCAGTGAAGAAATGGGCAGAAAACATGAATAGACACTTCTCTAAAGAAGACATCCGGATGGCCAACAGGCACATGAAAAGATGTTCAGCATCGCTCCTTATCAGGGAAATACAAATCAAAACCACACTCAGATATCACCTCACACCAGTCAGAGTGGCCAAAATGAACAAATCAGGAGACTATAGATGCTGGAGAGGATGTGGAGAAACGGGAACCCTCTTGCACTGTTGGTGGGAATGCAAATTGGTGCAGCCACTCTGGAAAACAGTGTGGAGGTTCCTCAGAAAATTAAAAATAGACCTACCTTATGACCCAGCAATAGCACTGCTAGGAATTTATCCAAGGGACACAGGAGTACTGATGCATAGGGGCACTTGTACCCCAATGTTCATAGCAGCACTCTCAACAATAGCCAAATTATGGAAAGAGCCGAAATGTCCATCGACTGATGAATGGATAAAGAAATTGTGGTTTATATACACAATGGAGTACTACAGGGCAATGAGAAAGAACGAAATATGGCCCTTTGTAGCAATGTGGATGGAACTGGAGAGTGTGATGCTAAGTGAAACAAGCCATACAGAGAAAGACAGATACCATATGGTTTCACTCTTATGTGGATCCTGAGAAACTTAACAGAAACCCATGGGGGAGGGAAAGGAAAAAAAAAAAAAAGAGGTTAGAGTGGGAGAGAGCCAAAGCATAAGAGACTCTTAAAAACTGAGAACAAACTGAGGGTTGATGGGGGGTGGGAGGGAGGGGAGGGTGGGTGATGGGTATTGAGGAGGGCACCTTTTGGGATGAGCACTGGGTGTTGTATGGAAACCAATTTGACAATAAATTTCATATATTGGAAAAAAATAAAATAAAATAAAATGGCTCCTGGTGATCTGTGATCCTGATATTCACTCCCTTATACAATCCCCTCCTCTTGAGTGTCAGTGGGATCCAGTGACTTGGTTCTAACAAATAGAATACAGCAAAAGTGATGAGATGTCATTTCCAAGATTAGGTTAGAAAGGACTGTGACTTCCATCTTGCTCACACATTCTCTCTGGTTCTTCTCTCTTGTTCATTCTGATGAAGCCAGCTGCCATGTTGTGAAATACCCTATAGAAAAGCCTACATGGCAAGGAACTGAGAGAGACCTCTGGCCAACAGTCTGCAAAGAACTGAGGCCTTCAGTGCAATAGCCCAGGAGAAGCTAAATCCTGCCATTGACCAGATGGGTGAGCTTGGAAACACATTCTTCCTTCAGCTGATCTTTGAGGTGACTGCAGGCAGCCCCCAACTTACTTATAATTTTTTCACTTTACAATGGTATGGAAGCAACACACATGCATTCGGTAGAAACTATACTTCAAATTTTGAATTTTAATCTTTTCTGGGGCTGGCAATATACAGTACAGTCTTTTTCATGACCCTGGGCAGAGGCACTGAGCTGAAGCTCCCAGTCAGTCAGGCAATTATGAGGGTGGACAACCATTCTGTACCCAAACAACCAGGCTGGTTTTCACTTTCAGTACAGTAGTCAATAAATTACATGATATATTCAACACTATTATAAAATAAGCTTCCTGCTAGATGATGTTGCCCAGCTGTAGTATAATGTAAGTGTTCTGAGCATGAAGGTAGACTAAGCTATGATGTTTGGTAAGTTGGTTGTATTAAATGTATGTTCAACTTAATGGCATTTTCAATTTATGATGGATTTATATGGATGTGATCCCATTGTAAGTCAAAGAAGATCTGTATAGCCCCATCCAACATTTTGATTGCAGCCTTGTGAGAGACCCTGGCTCAGAGGACTCAGCCAAACCATTTTGTGATTCCTGACCCACATGAACTGTGAAATAATAAATGTTATATTAATAATATATTGCCCTCGGGGCACCTGGATGTCTCAGTCAGTTCAATGTCCAACTCTTGATTTCAGCTCAGGTCATGATCCCATGGTCGTGGGATTGAGCCCTACACTGGGCTTTGCACTGAGTGTGGAACCTACTTAAAATTCTCTCCCTCTGCCACTTTCACTCACTCATGCATACACACACTCTCTCTCTCTCAAATAAAAATAATAATAATAACAATATATTGTCCAAAAACAAACATTAATTCTCTGGGACAGTAAATCTAAAGCCATAAAGAAGAAGAACATATTTTCTGGTTACATTTGATTTGAAATGGGTTGCTTTCCACAACTCACCCCCTATTGGAATCAACTAGTTACTTTAAACATTTTATTTATTTATTTATTTATTTATTTATTTATTTATAGCATGTGCATACATGTGAGCAGGACAGAGAGCAAGGAAGAGAGAGAATTCCCAAGTAGGCTCCAAGTTGTGAGTGCAGAGCCTGACACAGGGCTTGATCCCACAAACTGTGAGATTATGACCTGAGCCGAAATCAAGAGTCAGACACTCAATGAACTGAGCTACCCAGGCACCCCTACTTATTTTTTATTTGAGAGAGAGAGAGAGAGCAAAGGCAGGGGAAAGGGGCAGAGGGAGAGAGAGAGAGAGAGAGAGAGAGAGAGAGAGAGAGAGAGAGAGAAAGAAACCCAAGCAGTCTCCACTCAGTGCAGAGCCTGGAGCAGGGCTTGATCCCACAACCCTGGGATCATGACCTGAGCTGAAACCAAGAGTCAAACACGCAATCAGCTGAGCCACCCAGGTACCCCTCTACTAGTTATTTTCAACTGTAGAGTAGTTAGTTCTTTTTATATTTTCTCTTTCAGCCTTCAGATATAATAACAGAGTTGTAAGTATACCTACCTTAGTTGAAACCACTAAAATGATGGTTTGAAGTGTTTCCCTTCAAGAAAAACAAGTTTCCATCCTGTTTTTTGGCTGTAAGGCCAAATGTCTCTCTCTCTCTCTCTATCTCTCTCTCTCTCTGTCTAAAGTATGTATTCAGCAAACTTTGAGAACCTACTAATGGGTGCACCAAGTCCTCTGACTAACTAGACTTGGTCTTTAGTGAGGGAGTCTAACAAGTCGACAAGGCCATTAAATACGGTAGGATAAGCCTCAGTCGCTTTGGAAACACAGAGTGGGGATTCTGTAAGATTTTTTGTAGGACTTGATTTCTGAATTGAGATCTGAACAAGTGGTAGATGGCCAGATGGAGTAAATGGAAGGGAGTCTGTGGTAAGAGCGGAACAGTATGTGCAAAGCCTTGGAATCTTAATCATTAGGTTATTCTACTTCACTTTTTTCTGCATTTTTAGTATCTCCCTTTCCATTTGGCCTCTTCTTCTTGGCCTTTAAACATCTTAATATTTACTAGAATCAAAAACAATGAAAAAGAAGATGGCAGGGTAGGAGGACCCTAAGCTCATCTTGTTCCACAGATAACAACTAGATAATATACCAGTGAATAACCCAGAAAATGACCTGAAGACAAGGCAGAACAAATGCCACAACTAAATATAGAGAAGAGGCCATATCGGAGAGGGTAGGAAGAGCAGAGATTGGAAGCTAAATGGACCTGCAGCACTGTCCCTGTGAGGGAGGGAGACTGTGGGCATGGAAAGGGGAAAGAAACATACCCTTACACTGAGGAGCCCACACAGGAAAATGAATCCCCATAACACTTGGCTTTGAAAACCAGAGGGGCCAAATTTCGTGAGTTTTTACAACCAGTAGGACTTAAAACCTGGATTTTAGAATTAACAGGCTCAGCTCTGGGAAAGCCAGGAAAGTCAAAAGGAAACTGACTCCCCACCCTTAAAGAGACAATACGAAAAACAGTCCATGGAGATACAGCATAGAAGCAGCAGTTTGAAAAATGCCTGGGATGTACAGGAGGGAGAGTAGTTTACTCATCTCAAAGCATGTCCCAAAGGGGCAGAG